TTCTGTTCAACTATATCTAATTCTGGTTTCGGAATTACATTGTAATTAGTTATCAGTTAGTTGATCAATAGTCAGTTAGGATTTAGAGCTGATGAGGGAATCCGTACACCTACCCCTGGGATTTTCAGTCTTAAACTTTATAGAGTCAAATAACCTTCCCCCAACCCCCTAAGGAGAGGAAACGCAACTTGGTATTTATAAGCATTGGCTGTTACCCAATCGATTCATCATTTTGAATAAATATTGTTTAAATCAAAAAAAAAAAAAAAAAAAAAAAAAAGGAAACACAGAGCTTTCGGAATTCATAAAATGTACATGCATTTACAAGAAGGAAAGGGGTCTGTCAGTGTCACCTCTTTTCTAGTTAATTTTGTATCATTCATTTGATTTATGCCAATTTCTTTTTAGATGCATGTATAATATCCTCTAGTCCCTTACAAAGTCTTGTATGATGTTTCCTTTTTTATTACATGTGCACTGCATGCATCGCTTGATATTAATTAGAAAAAAATTAAAACATCTAGTTCAGAACATTAATAAAAGTGTTAAAGTTCTGCCGGCAATTAATATTTCGTAGTAAATAAGGAAATTCTAAATACTAAATTTGGAGATTTTTCAAATCGGTGCGCTCATTTCTCAGTCCTTGTCCCAGTTTATATCAAATCAATGTATTTAAGAATAGTTTGATTTATATTAAGATTTGGGTTGTTAAGCGCAACATCTTGTAATTTTTGCTAACCAATGCAAAGTAATATGCACCGCATGCACCAATCACTTTTTCCTAGTGAGTACTGAATCTCTAAGTATTAGTATGCTGCCACGGTTGTTAAATTCCTGTTAAAGTACATCATTGAGGGAGTTAGCAAGATTCCAGTTCCCCAAGGCCAGGACTATTTCCCGAGGCGAAGCCGAGGGAAATAGTCCTGGTCGAGGGGAACTGGATCTTGCTAACTCCCTCAATGATATACTTTGAACTGTTGTATTATACCAATACAAACGTAAAATTTAGAGGATTCGGATGGTGTGATTTCAAAGCAGGGATTAGCTCACTGAACTAACACACGGAGATATGTCCATTCACATATCATACCAATGAATGATCTAATGTTATACAGGGAAAAATCAGTAGAGGTATAATAAAATAAAACGTTTGAGATGTTATTTTTTAATTTAATTGCACAACATGAGCAATAATGTATGATAATTATAATAGACTTTTGACATTACTCAGTGAGTTTTCCTTTGAAGTAACATAAAATAACTGCGATACAAACACTTCGTGGTCGTTTCATTTTGTAAATGAGCAGAAACTGTACAATAACTATACAAAATATTAACAATACAGAACTGTTTAATTTTAGCGATGATGGAAAGCTGTTTGAATCATTCAAATTAAATGACCGAGCTGTTACGTATTTACTCAAAATTTTAGATGAATTTAGGATAGAAGTGAACAGCGGCGGATCCAAAATTTTAGAAAGGAAGGAGGAGGAGAGCAGTTCAGGGATGGTTTTCTTTGACAAAATAAAGAAAAGAAAAAAAACTGTCCAAACTCTAAAATCGTATTTCCTGGGTTAGGGATACTTAGTCTAGCTCATCATTAGTCCTGAAACTATGTACCTGGTCGTTACGTGTGGATAAATTAAAAGTGTATACAAGTTAAGCAAACACAATTTACGAAAGCCAAAAAGAAAAAAAAAACTCAAATTTGGGGGGGGGGGGGGGGATGCCCGACGGGCGCCAGTACATGTATGTGCTGGATCTGCCTTTGGCTACTTCTTTACTCTTCCTCCCTCCTCTTTCATCAGATTCTGTTTGTTTTAGTTTCGAGCCAGGAATACTGTACATGTATGTGACGACCGGTGGATAACATTTCTCTTAGAATTCAATCTGCCAGAAACATTTTTGCTTGATACTATTAAAGAGTTTTGACTGTACACATTAAAAAAAAAATCTTTGCTTGATTATAGCATAATCTATAGGAGTTTTGAAAAAAAATAATAAACAAGGTTGATCAAATGCATTCTTAATTTCTGTTAACCATTTGTCATTTTTCCTTATTCTTTCTTCATATATACACTCAATATACAGTCACATGAATTTTGTTGAGTTTAAGCTAAAATTTCAGTTTCCGTGAAAGAGGCGTTCTGTCTAATTTTATGGGGTACATGATTTCACACCTACATGTAGGGCTTTCTTCCAAAAGTATGTTTTTATTTATATATTTGTTTTTTTTTTTTTTTTTTGCATCTTCTTCGGCATATTTTATATAATATGCATCCTTGCTTGCACTTATTCACATGGTTTATTTGTCAATCTTTGGAATTTTTCAAAAGTTAGTGTAGCATATGCACTAAGAAAAGCACATAGCACCTGCATGGAATTAGCATCTAGCACCTGCATGGAAATATCTCTTATATGTAGCAACTGCATGAATGAACGTAATTTTGAAATTTGACGCCCACATTACCCCCACATTCATGTACATGTCTAGTTCTGTACTGTGATATACAGCGTTCTATATCATTTGTCTACTAAATTATATATACATATATTAATTTCAGAATATATTTACTGAAACCTTGTTCTTTTTTTTCAATGAAGAACGTTCTTTTGAAAAATAAACTAAGATTAGAATAATAGTATATTTACTGAAAAATTGAAAAGGGGGGCTAATTTGAAAGGGGGGCTAAACCAACCCCCACCCCCAAAAAACGTCTTTGAAAAAATAAGTTTGGTAGGCTGCCCCCTCTAGCCCTCCCTCCGGTTCTGACGCCTGTTACAAGTTTATTACATATATACGCATCGCTTCTTATCAACACATTATCAATTTCTATAATGTAATATTAAGAAAGACTTTTTTGGGGTGGGGTGGGGGTTAATTTTTATTTCTTTCTTTCCTTGGTGTTTTGTTTTTTTAAATTTATTTAACTATAATTTATTCATTTTGAGGGAAAGTTCATCCTAACTTAAAAGATGGAACAAAAATTCTCAGAAAACATGGGGCCAAAGTATATGTGTAGTTTGAGTAAAAATCAATCCATGTCACTTGATAACCAGTAATTAATAAATCAGTTTTACATGATTTCTCGTAATTATGCGTAGAAAGGTTTGTAATCTATATAGAAAAGGAGAAAATATAACGCATTAAATTATATGACAAGTCTACATTGTAAATACATTCAACTATGGAAACCTATGTTATTGTTATACAGTACTTTTTGTAATGACAAAATGTACTGCCATAGGGGGTTGTGTATGGACTTTTGTTGCGAGGATAAACATGGCAGTGCATGTCCATAAAAGATTTATATTTTCTTTTCAAAGATTTGCTTTTGTATTATAAAATGCATGTTATGAATTATAATATCTAATAATATCTATTTTCATGAATGTAAATAAAGGAAGAAAAAGAACACTGTGGAAACCTAGCTCTTTATATCTGTTCTATAATGCTTTTTGTTGGGCCAAATGCCATTAAAATCATCATCCTTTGTAAGTTCACTTATTATTAAAGTAGTACTATCAAGGAACGGCATTGATAAAAAAGGGTGTTGAAGTTCTTTTAATATTTTCCTTAATCGGCAAAAAATATGAAAAATATAAAACAAAAGCCGAAAACTAAATTTTAGGTGGAGAGAAAATTGGCTTGAGGGGTAGTCACACTTTATAGCTTTTAAGCTGTGTATGATCTCTCGAAAATATTGGCTTTCTTTAGTAGAAATCCTCCTCTAGATTCAGTTTTTCCGGGGGACTCCCCCTCTAAAACCATTTTCCCGGGAAATACTTGAAGGGGGGGGGGGGTCTACCGTAAAAATTCGGTACTTTTGCTGGTTGGAACAATGTTGAGGTCTACATGAATATTTTATGTGTTTGAAGGGTCGAAGAAGGTCTTGATTAAAACTATGTAAATTAAGATTTATGTCCGACGCTATCGACCCCCCCCCCCCCCCCGGCCTGTGTATGACGAATGATGACCCTTATTGTCAACACACATGGCGCACGTTCTTACAGCGCACCGTAAGAATGACTGAAAACTAAAAAATGTGTTTCCTAACTTTGTTTACATCTCTTTTGTGGGGGATAAGCAAAACGTCCTTTATCGGATAACACATCGTCCTCGCAAGGTTAACACAGCGTCCTCTCAAGCTTAACACACCGTCCTCTCACAGTTAACACACCGTCCTCTCAAGCTTAACACACCGTCCTCGCAAGGTTAACACACCGTCCTCGCAAGGTTAACACACCGTCCTCTCACGGCTAACACACCGTCCTCGCAAGGTTAACACACCGTCCTCTCACGTTAACACAACGTCCTCTTACGTTAACACAACGTCCTCTAAATCATAGTGAAAAAATCATGCTTTAATTTTCAAAATACAACATAATGCAATCCCCCATCGTGTAACTAGTGCCAAACCTTATAAATATACCAAATCTTGAAAAAATATCTCAATTAGAAAGTATAGTCCTCGGAGGAAGGTGGGGTGTCATAGTCCTCGAATGTTCGGTGATGCATGTAAGGGTGTGTGTGTGTGTTTTGTGCAAAGTTACAACCATTTTATTTCATATACAACAACAAAAAAAAAAAGCATTTTTAATTTAAAAAATAATAACAACCTACACAACATATCTTTCTTTTAATTTTCAATGAAGTTTACTGATTCAGGAGTTTTTGTTTCAATTATTGTTTACAACGTTTTCCAGTTATATTTAGTTACCTTTAGGGTCTGTAAATTTTTCATACTTGTTTTCTTCTTTCTGAGGTTGCAAATCTTCATATGTTGCACTGTAAGGTCCAAAGATAGTCCGTATGTCACAAATAAAATTTCAACATACTAGGCTTCTGAATATTTTTTATGTCGAAGTTTTCCTTTGAATTACCCATTATAGACCTTTTTTGTGGACTACTTACCCGGAATTTCCGTTTTCTAAAATGAAATTAGATAATTGAAATAACATTTCGAATACTGATTAAGAATAAATCAAAAGATTTTTTATTAGATTTCAAAATTATCAGTAGAGTCTTTAGTCATTGTGTTAGAATTGCCCTTACTGTTTGGTGTTCTAATTGAATCATAACTGCTTTCCTGTTCCCGTCTATTCTGATTAAGCTCTTCATACTGGGCGCTGAATGAATAGATTTGATATTTATATCTATTAACATGATTTACTTAAAATTTAAAGGAGCTTAGACACAGTTACATATTGTAGTTTTGTTTAAAATTTTAAAATTTCCGTTTCTATTCAACAAATAATTTCAGTTTAATGAATTCAACTTACATGAACATTCTTAAAATTCAATGACAAGGAAATTCTTCAGGGCTCTGTTATTATTAATGATTTCATTTTACCGGATATGTTCAATTTGTTTAATCTGCACACATCACTGAGCACGGACATGGACTGATAATACTAGGGAGTTGGATTTGTTTTTTTGCGTTTCTACTCTAAATTTTCTGGATAATAGTTTTAATATTGTTCATTAAATACAATATTTTTTCTTCACTTTTTCTAAAATATTAACGATAAAGTATACTAATATTAACCTCAAAGAACTATATGCAGTATATGCATATTTCTGCCCCCTCCAAAAGTCATATTTTGAAAAATGTTTGAAATGTGCTGAAATTTATATATTGTATGAGAAATCTAAATGAACAAAAAATATTATAGTTTCAAAGTAGGTTATTGGCAATTTTTGTTTCTATGACATCAAAAACTATTCGAATTTTATGTTATTTTTCAGAAAGAGGGAAAAATAGACAAAATTTTTTTTACTATAAAATTTATAGAGCGCAGGCCTGCTCAAGAACAATGTTTACATATTTCATTCATATTATCATTCTACACATTATATTAATATATTGAGTTGGAGCAGGCCTGCGTTCAGTGACTTTTACTCAAAATATCGACGAAATATACATTTTCTTCTGTGTAAATCATGAAAATTTTGAATTTACGTCATTTTCCTGACGTCATATCTAACATATGGCGTCATGGCTTATGAAAATATTCAGTGCTTTGAAGTCTGCAGATACCCCCCCCCCCCCGTTTTAGAACATAATTAAAGATTTCTCCGTCAAAGTTTGATTTTGGGGGGCAAATATTGGTCATTACCGAATTTAGTCCTTTGTGTCCAAGCCCCTTTAACACGTCATCCTTCTATAATTACCATAACCCTACAGTACTGTAGCAAAATACTGCATAAGCATAAAAAGCAATTATAACACTCAGGAATTAGTAATACTATTTGGGTAATTTCCTTTTCTTTGACTTTATCAAAATCTAAACATTACATAATATTAATTTTATGTAACTTTAGCAACTAATTGTTTCCATAAGTAAGATTTTCTTGCTTTTACAAAGAATATTGCTGATATTTCCGACCATCCTATCGCATGCATTTTATAACAGATTCTGTTTTGTGTTTTAATATACAAGGTTTTATGCCACTTTCCGGTTAATGATAACAAATTGCTTTCTAGTCTTTGAATCTTCCTTCGTGCCAACATTTCCTTCTGACTTTTTAACAGATACACTACCTCATATCCGCTCCACGACCTTAAATCAAAAGAAAAATGAAAGAAAATCAAGTTGCAGAAATTGGAAAGTCAAAATTAAGAAGCAATGGAATAAATTTGTACCTACCTGGTAATCTTGAGAGACTGTCTGATGCTTTCACTTTTGCGCCACTGTGACAGAAATATGAATTACATATGCATACTCAAAACAATCTGATTTGAAAAAAAAATCCTCAGAACATACACATACTAAAAAATCGATTGTTTTGTTAAAAATCTGGTTAGATTCTAAGCTATAACGCTCAACAAGCCTGTCAGTTTGAATACGGATTTCATTTGACTTAATGTATCTATTCAATATTTGTATATTTCTGCAAGTAGCTACTTCGGAACTACCGATAGTAGTTTATATGTTAAAATAATGAATTAGGGTTGATGATTGAAGGCGGAGACAATCTCCAGGTCTTAGACAATATATTTCCCAATTTACAAAATTTATGGATAGATTATATTTTTCAGAAAATATATTGTAATATCATCTTTAAAATACTTGAGTCCTTTAGTTTATTGAATACCTTATTGATTGATCCTTTGCATACCGTAGTGGAAAATGGGTCTATTTTAGCCATAACAAGAATAGATATGTGTTACCCCATATCCAAGATATTCGACTTTTTATTTACTCGAATTTTCACTGTGATCAGATGCTTTCTAAGAAAAAGAAACTGAACTGGTGTATAGTTCTTCATGTCCATACATGTACATGTAGCAATTACTGTCGCCAGTCTAAGCGCCACTAGCAAACAGTGCACACACCTATGCTTGCAAGACCAAATAGCCTAGGTCTACATACGTGCGATGAGATTGTCAATCGCATCTTCGCAGACCTTTCAGGCGAGCTCGGAAAAACACTGTTTTGCCGCGAAGTTAGGATCAAACTGTTTTACTTCAACCACTGTGACACACCGCGTATTTATGATAACTGCGTAGTGTAGTATATTTTCGCCATGCCAGTGAGATGTGGAGAGAATTCGAATCCTACATAAATTTTATCCACATACCGGTACAATTTATAAACTTTAGCAATAACCATAAAATGTGTATTTTTTGTAATATTTCATCAAAATTTGTAATTCTGATGACTTTCTAAATCGAGAAATGCTGAAAAACGCCTATGTGACCAAACTGAACATGCCAGTCTTAGAGTCCTTATGGTATTATTTGTCTGACATTATGCTTAGGACAGACATAAGAATGTTCCTATTTAGATACCAAGCAATAAGGCGGGAGATTGTTACAAATGTGAACCTCCTGGTTTTTAGATATTCTATATTGCGACTAAAGGCTTATTTCTAGTGTATAAAGCTTTAAGTAAAAAAAAAATAGTGTTCTTACCTTGTGTTTGGCATTTTTTCTGAAACTAAGATTTAAAAAATATATATAACCCTTTGACAATTGACAATAAAGAATTGAAATAAATATATTACAACAAACATACATACCAAGACATCTAATCGGGTATTTTCTGCTGAGAAATATCAAAAGGATAAGTATTATCAATACAACTCCCCCTAACGTGCCACCAATTATTCCTCCTAGGTTTAATTCTTTGGTAGATTTAATAAAGACTACGAAGAAAAGAAAATGTACAATTTATTAACGTTTAACCCTTGGTACAGTGGATATCAGTCATACAGAATTGTTTTCATATTCCACACTTCGTATTCCGACGTCTTGTGGTTTTATTCTATATAATAAAAATTGTATGCTTAACGAGGCCGAGTCTAATTACTTCTACCCTAGATATTTTGATAAAAATTTTTAAATGAATTTTTACTATTATACTAATTATTTTAAGAGAAAAAAACTAAAATTTTTATCATCCCGATTTCTTAGGGGACCATCTCAAAAGTTGTCAAATTTTACTATTGGACCCTATGGGAATTTGATGCAAAAGCGCCAAATTATCACATTTTCTCCATATTTTTTGTATTTCTGCCCTAGGGATTTCCTTTTCAGTCATATACATGAAAGTTATTGTAAAAAGGCACCAAACTGTGAAAACTCAAAAAAGTTTACCATCTGGTTTGGTCTAGGAATTATTACAAAGTTTAGTTTTTTTAATGCCTAATACCTCTAAATTTGCCATATTACGGCATACATTCTGTATATATCGACGCAGATGAATTATTTTGGTAAAAAATACTATATTTAGATTGCTGATATGTTTCTTTTGATGTTCTGTCAACAGTTTTCAATAAAGTGTCCATGGTCGTCTCGAATACTCAAGCGAGTTATGTGTCATTCTTCAGCGTCATACATTGCTTACAGATCCAGAAAACAGTGACGTCGTGAAAGCCATTTCAGCGTTTATTCCTAATTATTGTCTTAAAAGCACATTTTAAGACCCATAAACATCACAGATAATATAATATAATGTTAATTTTGTATTAAAATTACAATACTTAAAATAGGTGCTATGATGCACCTACGACTGCATGAAACTAAAAAGCTGCGCAAAGACATGCGCACTCGAATTAGACTCGGCCTCGTTAAGTGTTTAAAAAAAAATAAATATTGAAGTAATTTTATAAGTATATAATTAAAGAAATCTTACCAGTATGTTTCTAAACACATGAGTTGGTATAGTTTCCAAATATCTTGTGAAAGTATATCTATTTAATTTTCGTTATTGTCATAGGCCCCTAACATTATTATGTTTGATATTATTATATTTTATAATATACAAGAACTTTGCACGAACTCTGGTGAGACTAAAACGAAATTGCAGTGAGACTTTCAGTTTATCAAATAAACGGAAGTATAGCTAGGGAGTGACTGGCACTTAGAATAATCTAACTGTGTCTCTGGACAAACCCTCGCCACAGTTAGAATACGTCCCATTTACTTGCAATGTAGCAAATCGGAGCGGATCCGCTCCGAAATGATTTTGAACAATACAAAAGGAGTTGCACTGAAAATAACTACCAAATTAATCATAACAAACCTTTTTGAGATTGTATATGCCTTTTAACCTAAAAAATAATCCATAAAGGTAGGAAAATTCAACTCATTTTCTCAACTTTTTTTCTTCGCTTCAAATTTACACGCCATGTTCACATTCGAAACTCTCTAGATTATTCATAGAAAATGCACAGAGTTCGAGGTATCGCCCGTGTTTATTTTGCTACATTGTCAATACACGGAACGACCCTAATGTAGATTTTCCAAAGGGTTTGGAAAAGTTTTGGAATTCCATGGAATTCCAAACATTTCCATACAAGAGTCTAAAAGTGTTTTTGGAAGTTTTAGGAATTTTTTGGAATATGAATAACAAATTTGGACTTAGACATTTTGAGGTTTGGAAAGTTGTGGAATTCTATGGAAAAGCTGATAAAATGAGAAACTTAGACATTTTCTGCTCTGGAAAGCTGTGGAAAATAACTTAGAATTTTTTCTTAAACTGTCGGCTCCTAGTACAATTACGTCGGGCTCGATGTCGGGCTCGATGAACAATTAATTTAAACTACAGCCCGCCAAAATTCAACAATTCGGCTGCCATGTTGTATTGTTGGACAGAAGGAAAGAGAGTGTCACGAAGAAGGGAACTGCTGTCATTATTAGCTTGGAATGGAATTTGTATTTTGACAAAAGATGCAGACATTTTAAGACCCGTTAGGTACAATGTACAGTAATCAGTATTTTATGTGTTCTTGAAGTTGAATGGATAATTGACTGTTCCTCAGTCTGGGCACCACACACATAGAATGCCCGACGATGAAACCATTAGGGCGAGTTTCGTTTCTTTAATAATTATTGTACAACTCTAAACATCTCTTATCAAAATATGTTTGAACAATGTGTGGATTTCAACCCGAATTTCCTCCGTTCGTGCATGTCCTTAGACCTCGCTATATATGCTAGTGGCACGTTGCCATTTGCGCCACGACAGTCCATGTTACATTGTACACAGACATCATAACACTATTAGTGTCTCCAATATGTTGCAACATGCAACATCTAAATTGGCTATCTTTACCATGTTTACAACAAAGAAAAAACGTGTAGACGGTGGTAGACTAATAATGCTCTATAAGCTGTCTATATGATATAAAGTTGTGCACAACTTAGTTGCGGTAGGCCCAAGCCTCTATTTAGTTTCACAGACTACCACCAACAAAGGCATTTCAAGCCTTCCTCACCTTCAGACCTTTAGTACTTTCACAGATAATTTAAATATAGTCCCCCCCCCCCCCATTATGGAAATTTATTTCTCTTCCATGCTCAGTGGTATCGGCAGCCTCTTTGGGGCCAGTTCAGAACTCTGGTCCGAATTATTAGCTAATAACATTCCTTAGTACATGTACTACTTACATTTACAGAGTACATTGTAAATAATAATTGTATCTATTTTTTAATGCATGTTCATGATCATTCACAACACTTACTTTTATTATTTTATAGCTGAAGTACTCGATTTGCACAGCGCCGGCATATAATCATCAAGTTTGATGAAATGTCCTAATATGTAGATGTAGATGCTAAGTCATTCAGTCACCTAGCTTGTGAGAATGGTGAGAGCCTGCTCAAATTATCATTCAGCACAAATAAACTAACATTGTTTTTATTAATTAATGTTTTATAGCGTAAGATTTTTTTTATTGAGCAAGTAACAAGAGGTTTATGTTCTTAATTCCTTAATAATGCATAACAATTATAACTTTTGACATGTAATCTAAACATGCTAAATGCTACATGCATAATCATTTTACATTTTATTTAAGTATAAATATTAAAAATGACTATACTCTATGACATAAAATCATGCATGCATTATTTACAGGAATGCTCACAAAAAGGACAAGAGCGAGAGAGCTGTATGGAAATTTACACAAAGGTAAGATTTTTTAATCATTTTCCTAATCAATAAAATCAAAAGAATTGAAATTATGTGTTTATCAATGTTAGCCAGGCATTGAGAAAAGTTATTATGAACCTTAGACTCCACTCTTTCAAATATATTTTAGTTATTTTAAGAAGTTGTTGCTTTTAACTTGTTTCCTATGTCAGTTCTCTGTCCTGTTCACAAGTTTTTACCTACGCCTTGTCAATGTCATTCATCATATTCTTACACAAACCTATAACCTTAGTCGCAGATATAAATTTCCAGAAATAAAGAAGTACATGTATACATGTACTAATATATTATCTTACTCAATACTGAATTGTTGAGGCATGGAAGTTACATGTATTTATAACAGTTTATTTAATATTTTCTTAATTTTTCAAAAATAAAGTATATGTACATGTATTTGCATGTTTGAAGCCTAGAACAAATGTATTCTATATATTCACTTTATGTTATTTGCTTTGTCTATATTTTTGTTACATTGTAAATTAACCAATGTGCATTTAAAGCAATTACATATGCCTATAAATTCGTCTTTTCCTCTTTTCAAGGGTCAGTTAACGGAGTAAGCTGATATGGAGGATAATATATCAAAGGCAGCATAGGCGTCCAAACTCCTGTTCAAGGTGCTTTTAATCAGAAGCTTAAGAGACAAAAGACGAGCCATTGACAAGGCAAAACTGAATGTTTTATATGGTATATAAATTATATTTACTAATGTACTTTTTTTCATACCTTAACTTTATTTGCTGAATGTTTTTAAGGGTACATAGTTTATGTAATTTACAATGTTCTCTCTCATATTCAAGGTTAATTAACTTAGACACAATCATGTCTCTTTATTTTTTTTAATTTCACAACTTCCATTAGTTTAAAAAGAAATCAATCCTAATCTGAACAAAAAATTACAAGATAATAAATTCCTATTCTACAGTATTAAACTGATCTGCCAGGTTGAAAGAACCAATTGTCTTATATAGCTTTAGTTTATTATTTGTCAGATATTTATACATGAGATAGATATCATACATCTTTATGGTAATCTTTTCTTTCAGAAATTGAGCAAGAAAAGTTTGAAGTGTCTTTGGGAATGATCAACATCAAACTTGCTGAGCTTTTGAAGCCGTCGTACCAAAAGTGAATCCATTCGTGACACCAATTATCTGACCACCCTCTAACAGAACCAGTGAGGAAGTGATTCTAGCCAATACTTCAGAAGTTTAGGACCCCTCAATAATTAGGATCTTGGGGCATGTTGGGGGGGGGGGAAATGTGTTGATTTTATGGGATCTTTCAAATATAGTTGTGTAGTAGATATTTGTGTACTTAATACATATGTTTGTCACTCTAGTCATTAACTTTGTATGGTAAATGTATATGGACCACTGGAAGATCATTGTAACTGTATACAAATGTTGCAAATATACCCTGTTAAGGCTTTATTGACCTTTCCCAAGGTCATTCAATGAAGCAAAAGGTCATAATTAATGTTTTTTTTAAAATCTATTTTGTTTTATTATTAAAAAATGTCATATGTTTGAGATTACTCTAGGTACAAAGGATTTTCTTTAACCAAAAGTCATTTGTTTCTCATGCAGATCGTAATTTACTACATGTACATGCATGTATATTATAATAATTCTCATTAATTAAACCAAGGTGATCATCCAGTAATGATATTTTTCTGTGGATTTTTAACATTGTTTAAATAATCTTTGATGTAAAATACTTTCATTGATAATACTTTTTAAAATTTGTGCTTTCATTATACATAGAAGTGTGTATGCAATATTTGTCACCAAACACATTGTAAAGCAAAAATGATTTTTTATTTTGAAAATATAGATTTGATTTATGAAAAATTGTGATGTAGTCATTTTTTTTTTTTTGTAATTATTTGGCCCTTAAATTATTTTGATTATTCCAGTTTTTGTATTTTCCTGGAATTCCTTGAATTTCCGTGGAATTCCACAGATTTCCAAATATCCTGGAATTCCATGGATATCCAGCTATTTCCGCAAATTTCTATTCTGGCATTGTTCCGCTCTTTTCCAGGCTAGATTTGAAATTCCATACCATTCCAAAAAAGTTCCGTCCCAATACTCTCGAGAATTCCTCGGAATTCCATGGAACACTTTTTCCATGGAATTCCACGGAATTTGTTATGGAATTCCACGGATCTTACGGAAAATCTACATTAGGGGAATTCTATCGTTAAACGGGGTCTGTAGGACAGTTTCATTTTAACGATAGAACGTTTTTTCAAACTGTCACGTGGAGAGAATTTGTTTTCACCACACCACAATATCAGTGGAATTTCACATAACTCTTATTCAAACGTCTTCATTCAGTATAATTATGTATATAGTAATTTATTACACTCTTTCGTTGAAGTTCCGTTGAAGTGTATTCCAAACTTTTTTTTATGACGAACATGCATGCGTAATCTAAACTTCATTTTTGTAGACAAATATACTGTACGTGTACATAAATTGGCGTATTCAAAATTTAACGTAATCACTGAGTATGGAGTTGTTGGCGTAATCATGAATTAGCGCTATACATGTCCGTGTATAATATGAAGCCCGCTTATTTAAGTACACATAAAGTACATTTCTTTCATTGTATCTAAAAAAATGAATGAAAGAAAGAAAGAAAAAACAGACAAGAAAAATGTTTTGGTAACTCCATTTTTTGCCGAAACTGGTGTAAAATACAAACTTGAAAAGGTCAAGAGAGACACGTGTCTCTAATTTCAGTGGGGAATGTATAGAATTATTGTTATACTGGTGGTCTTCATTCAAAGGCGTATTTTTGGGGCGCAAATGTTAACGCAGTACGTATACACTGCAAACTATGACCGAGTATAAAACATAACATGCATTCCAAAAGATCAATTTATGATTTCACTAAATAGCCCATCTTCAATATTGTACGTGTAAGATAAGTACAATGACGGTAAAAGTTAAAATAAAGAACTACAATCACTTAAAAGGGAGGAGGGGGAAAAGCGCCAAACAGAAGCAAAAAGTAAAAGGCAAGACGGCAATACAACACGCCTGCTAATTGATCAGTTTCATAACCAGCAGTTATGTATAATAATCAAAAGAGATCGATTTCCGGTTATGCATTTAATACGAATAATTCCAATACACAGATGGTAAGTTGATCCGATGCAGGCATTAGTTGAAATAGATAAAGGGTAGTTTATGAAAACAATTATCATGTTTATCATCTTTAGGGGACCAGTACAAACAGGCATGGGACAATGATTTTTTTTTTCATCGAAGAAAACCATGGGACAAAAACTTTTTAGCATTAAGTACCCATGGGACACAAACTTTGTTTAAAATGAATTACAGAACTTAACTCAGGAGACACATTTATTATGTTTAAAAATATTTTATTTTTTCCAAAAACGTCATATCTTTTAAAGTCAAACGAAGGATACAAATTGCAACAGAAATCTACAAATTAATGGAAAAATTAACAAAGTAACAATGTTTTTAAGAGTTATGAATATAACGAGAAAAAATTATTTCAATAAATCTCATGTATTCAAAATATACTACTAACAAAAAGAGCATCATCAGAATCAATCATGTACTTTACACACGAATGGTGTCTCAATTTAATCAATCCAGAGAACTTTCATCGTTTAATCAATCAGAAAAACTTTCATCGATGTTTGAAATATCTGTAATCTGAAAGACTCCTTCTG